ACACACACACACGCACACACACACACACACACACACAGGCAGCCTCTCGACAATATGCGTTTTTGCTGGCTGCACAGCAAAAACGCATAAAAATTTGGAAAATTGTTCCCAAAAGACTCATTTTATTGTGGTGTCTCAAACAGGCGCGTGTGCGGTTGAAAACTCCTGTTCGTCTGATAATTTTTCAACGTATTTTTTTATTTTTTCATTTGTATATTTTATATACATCAAAATCAATATCTTTATTACATGGACTGTTTGAGTGCGCCTTCGTTTATTAGTTTTCTTAGATCTCAAGTACAAGGTTTCTATTTTATTTCAAATTTTACACGATTTTTACTGCTCGCTGTGGTATGGCTTGCGACGCCTCTTTCTGGGTAGAGTTTTTTCTTCGATATCTAGTCTAATTAGAAAACTTCGGAATATTTTGATTTTCATAGATTGACGATTACAAAAAGTGCTCCTTGTAAAACGTGTGCATAGTAGTTGATTAGCAGTTTCGCTTTCCATTTCACTGATGCGCTCATGAGATGAAGATAATCCAGTAATTTTATTATATGAGCATCAACTGAATGAATTAATCGACAGGAAGCATCACAGCCCAGGCAACAAGTTATTCTACAATCTAGGGCGAAATGAATGTTGTTTTATGCTAGCTGTACAGTTCTCAGTTTGCCACCTGGTCGCAATCTTCCAGAAATACAGTGAAAGGAATGGCTACTTCCAAAATGCACAGCCACGTGATGTTTTATAATCTACATATGCCCTGGTACCAGCAAGACAAAGCTGCGAGACAACGGGAGTTGGTGACCAAATTACTACAAAATACAAAATTTCTTTCTTCGTAACTGAGGCATTTTGGAAGAGAAGAAGATAACGAAAGGGTCTGAGAGGTGAACAACGAACAACTGAACAGTGCAAGCGATCAGAAATGAAAATACGTAAAATAACTGAAGGCACGTTAAGTTTGTACTGGAAAAATGGCACTAAATGATCTGGCGCCTTTCCATTAAGTTAGCTACGTTAATTGTCCCACACATTATCCCTCTGCCCACTGACTTAGTTTCTTTCCCAAACTGCAGCGGGACTATGAACAGGAATGCGTGGCCCACAGGGCAGCGCATGCATCCGTCCTTATGAGCAAGCTGCAATGGAACCTACAGTTTCAATTTTCTATTTAATACAATCTGAAACGAATCAACATGGTTTCAGACTGAGCACTACAGGCTGACTGCATAAATTTCTGCTCCAGTATTTCTTGAGAGCCTATTTTCGTCCCAAACATGGAAATTCGACAGTGCAGAGGGAACATAACAGCAAAAAGCAGATCGAAACAGAACAGAAGAATCAGATTCAGGAAACTTGTAAAATATGCTCTTGGTAAAGTAGCAAAAGCGAAATCAAGAAGACGAAAAAAGAAAAACAGAAGGAAAAGCGAATTCAGGAATGGGACTTCCTGGCCTGACCATCTGTATAAAAACTGGCATATAACAATACAGCTGAAGTTTTTACAAATTTTGTAAAAGTGTAGAGTTTGTGAAGGTGCACAAAAAACAGCATTAAAACACATGGCGCTGTACGAAAGCACTGCTGTACGTTCGGGCGGCCATTCGCGAATCGTTTGCACTGGGTGGTGACCGAGGACGTCGTGATGTCGGATAGGGCGGCGGTGGTGGTAAATCCAAAACCGAATGTGGTGTGGTCGAACTGAATGTAGATGATTATGTAACAGTAACTTTGAATCATTCATATAAAAATGGCGCCATTTTCGGAAGTTTGCCTGTACCCAATTTCAGAGAAGCATGCGCTCCTCGCTTACGGCTATCAGAGGGCAAGTGTATCCAGATTTTTGCGTCTTCTCACTGTCGCGTATTGGTCGCCCTGCCCTGCAAATTTCAGTGTGCAAAAATTTTTCAACGAAACGCTGCTATTTTTAGCATTGCCTTTGTTGCTTAGCGAAATCCCGTTCAAAAAAAGAAGGAAGAAATAGTGGGACAGTCGCCGGCCGGCGACCGCTCTATGCCAAGAACGGTTCAAAATACATAGATGCTTCAGCAGGTCTCCTCATACCAGTGTAGCAAGCACGAGGGTGAATTGAACAACGAAGCGTTCTAACAAAAAAAACCAAGTAGCGACGCATCAGGCTTGCCAGTGCGACCATGCATTTTTTGCGCTAAACTTGAAGCAGCCCGATCGTTAACAGCATGAACGGTTGCTACATTAGAGTTTAATATGTGGACTTATACTGGTTGTATTCCGATCTTTTTTTGTAAATAGGGGGAAAAACGGCATCGGCTGGGACAGTAGCGTTGCACCATAAGAAAAAAATCTTCATCACGTATGATTACCATGAATTTTGCACGAAGGGAAATAATAATTTCTGATGACCGATCCTTCAGTGAAAATGCGAATGGGACAATAAACAAGATTTCGAAAGCGAAGAACACGAATTTAGCAAAATGCATTTGTTTTTAAGGCTACAGTCAAACTGAATTTTTGTCATATCTATGTACAGTTTAACCTCCAAGATGAATTTAGACCACACACGGATATAGAATAACTCTGCAAAATTTTGACTTCGCAGCTTTCTTTAACGTGTCCTAACGTATAGCGCAAGTGCAGATCAAAACTCTATTTAGACGTACGGTTTCCCAGATGAACAACAAGTTTTCCGGCAACACTACAGCTGTTATTCTCCGGCAATTTTTCAGGTTAGCACAGTGCCAACTGTGAGCCTTGGCGTGACTATGCGCGTGACGTAATCGTACGTGATAGTTAAATTAGCTCTCCTTGTGCAAATCTGAGCACTGTGATACAGTATGAGCGTAAAGTCCTCTGTCAGATGAGGAGAATATGAAAATGGCCAAAAGTGATTACCTGATGTGATTTCGACCAGCCGCATATGGTGAGTAATAACAACAAGATGGTGGTCGCGCATGTTCCATTACATACGGTTCGTGAAGATAGGCTGATGATCGACCGGTAGTCGAAGGAGAGGCATACGTTGTTGGCGAACTGTAAGTGATTGGAGCAGAATGAGGTGGACTTGATACCAGCACTGTTGATGACAGTTCCTGACATGATGATGGGCGCTGAAGTCGTGTCTTCAGTGAGTCGTAACGGTCAACGACTGCATCCACTGAGGACAAGAGCGGGTTTGATGTAGATGGCATCGCAAACTGCGGTATCGAAGAGTTTGAACTTGATTTAGACGCTAGTTGCCCGCACGAACCTGCAACTAACAAATTACACGGTCAATTCGAACTTAAATTGGACTCTAATTGTCTGCACAAATCTAAAGCTAACAAATTGTGCGATCAGTGGCTCTACTGCCATTTGCACAGCTAAAATCGAATACAGTTTTAGAGACGCACTAGCAGCTTCCAGCTAATATTGTGATTTGCAAACTAAGTTAGTTAGAAAAAAAGTAACTAAAAAGGGAGCAGCTGTTGAGTGCTATCAAAGACTTGTCTTAAATCAAGACCGAATAATAACACAACGGTTACGGCTATCCAAACACATTAAATTCTTCGGTAACAAGACGATCCGTAGCAAGTCCTTCTCTACCAACATCCCACGCACTGTCAAATTTGTATTTTTCAATGAACGACCACTTAGCAAAAATCATCCATTTCAGGCAAAATTGGTAATCATGCATGCTGGAGGTCCACAAGACCCCATGATGCAACACTGCCGTCCTAGCTGACGCTCTTTTTCCTCTGCATGCAAGAAAAGACTAAAACACAGACAACATCAGTTCATTTATTAAGCAGCAACGTAGGAACCTCATGCTATCAGCACTTATGATCTACCTGCTGCAAGTCTAGCGCAAAAACGCGTGATCGAACCAGCAAGCCTGGTGCGTCGCAGCCCAGGTTAAGTTACTGCAAGTGCTAGAAGGGTGAACCTTTGCTGCAAGCAGCAGTTACACGGGAACTATTAAAAATGATACTTTCGTTTATCCGCCATGCTTCTTTCGTCAAACAATGAGGGAGCCGGAAGTAACCCAAGTAAGAGCATGTAAAATTAGCAACCACCCACTGGCAAGGCTGTCAGTACCCCTCTTTTAAAAGTTGCAAAAAAGCAAAATAATGGCTTTCTTCTGGCACGTGGCATAGCAGCTAAGCAGAGGAATGAACACCAGAGAAATGAATGAACGAGTTGTACAAAGAGTGGTTGGGCATCGGCGGAGCTGAACCCTTGACCACTCTGAGAGTGGCGTCACTTACCTCTGTGCAGTGCTAACCAGCTTTTAATAAGCTAACATGCATAAGATACAAATAAAAAACCATTGTCAAGTAGTTAGCAGAACAGACTGTGTTTTGAAATCAAAAAGGAATAATTGGCCAACTCACGGGCTGCCCGTGCGGAGATGTGTTTTTTGCATAGTTTTCCGCAGTTTTTGCCGCTGCCGGCACTGGTTTTTTCGGCAAATGCTTCTAGCTAAACAAATTAAGACTGGCCGCTAAAACTGTCAGGAAACATCCCCTTAAAATTCCAGCTTTCTAGCTTTTCTGGTTCCTGAGTTAGCAACATACTGGAAAAAATTTTCACGAGCCCGTACGTGGGTACCATGCATACCCCATGTCTGGATTTGAGCTCGTTGAGACTTACGTGGACGAAGAACATCCTTTTAAAGCCACAGTTTTCTAGCTTTTCAGGTTCTCGAGTTAGCAACTTGCACGAGAAAAATTTTGGTCAGCCCGTGCGTGGATACCACTCGCACGCGGAGTCTGGATTTGAGCTCAGTGAGACTTAGGTAAACGGGGAATATACTCTTAAAATTACAGTCTACTAGCTTTTCAAATTCCCGAGTTAACTTACTCGAAAAAAACTTTCACGGGCCCGTACGTGGATACCATGCTTAACCGGGGTCTGGGTTTGAGCTCATTAATACCTACTTGGATGGGGAACATCTCTTAAGATTTCAGCTTTCTAGCTTCTCAGATCCCCGAATTATGAACTTACCCTAAAAAAATTTCGGTGGGCCCGTACGTGGGTACCACGCTTGCCCGGGGAATGAGTTTCCGTGCATTAATACATACTTGGACGGGGAACATCCCCCTAAGATTTCAGTGTTTTAGCTTCTCAGATCCCTGAGTTATGAATTTACCCCAAAAAAACTTTAGCGAGCGCGTACGCGGGTACCACGCGGGTGATGGCGCTCATTTTGGGGGTTGGGGCCGACACGTGCATGTAGATTAAGTTCTCGAAATTTCTGTCCTGCAGCTTTTATAGGTCTTGAGATGAAAGTGCGTGACAGGCGCAAACAGAGACACACAGACGCACAGACAACCCCTCGTCAATATGAGTTTTTGCATTGCATTGCTGCAAAAAACGCATAAAAATACCTTGTTGGTGTTCCTGCCACAAGGCTCTGATCATTGGATATTGCCGGATACGATTATTCAGTGCCATTTCCTCCTCCTGCTCGCGTGAACTGGAAATTACGTCTTTTGGTATACCAAGAGCATGAGACGCGCACATCCCTGCTACGCTCTGGGCATACCGCGCCCGTGCTTGCTGCAAACGGATTATCAATAAATCAGGAAAATAATATTTTTTTCTGACCAGCCACTGTAGAAAGTGCAGTAAAAACAAGATTACCTGTAGGACTGCATGCTCGTAAGGAGGCGGCTGTTTCGAATACACAGGAAATCGTGCTCCGGGTGATGACTGCGAATCCTTTACAGGAGATTCGATTGGAAATTGAGGCGAGGGCTCTTCCTGAAATGAAAAAAACACTTTTCATCAGCCAGAAGACAGTGAACAGATCTGCTAACACTGTTACATGCTCAAAGTCACACATTACGACGTGAATTTCTAATGGGTCAGTACATAACAGAGAATTAAGCTCATTAATCATACGCGGAATGCAGCTTACAGTACTCTTCAGCTCAATCTTTGGGCAACAGCAAAGATTTGACCAAAAAAAAAAGAACGAAGTTGTTTCCTAATTTATCAAGTTATTTCGACAGACAGTCGCTCTGCATGCTAAAGCCTCATAACTCGCTTCAGACTGTTTCCCGACTGATTTTCGAAAGAAAAAACTACACTCTTCTTAACTGACGGCTGTCACTGAAAAAAGCGCTTGTCGCTAAGCCCATAACACAAAAGATTTTTATTTTTGTAGGATCAAAGTGCGAACAGACGCTTTGGATTTTTTGGAATGGCCGCACAAATAAAAAACAAAACAGGAACTGACGTCCACAAGATATTGTTGCGAATTATGTGCCGGCATGCTTTGTACGCGACTGATAGCACGGACAGCACTGGCATGTGGTAGACGTTGTCCGTAACGCTTCTGGTAAAGGCAGCCGTTCGTTCCGCTTTGTGGAATAGGATAGGGAGGTGACAAACGAGAAGGACCAGCAATCGGCACTTGATATGAAGTGGTGGGTGAGGACATTAACGGTGATCCGGATCTGGTATAAGCCTAAAAACACAATCAAACTGAGGAAGATGGAAAAGTGAAATCAAAAATATCGGTAAGCAAAAATCGCAACGCACCTTATAGTGAATTTTCGGTTCAGAGTGAGTAAGATGAACGGAAGTTTCAAGCTGACAGGAAACGCCAGCTCCGGAAGGGTTCATACCAGCAACGGTAATCCATCTGGGTTTGGTGTTTGGATTTGGACTCGGCCGATGATAAGGAAGTTCAAGATTTTGTTGTGCATGATATGCTATCGTTTCGCTGTAACCCGGAGGTTGCTTCAGCATCGCTTCAACAGGAAATCCTGCTGTTTCCGTCCCTTCATCGACTTTCTCAAAATCATCCTGAAAATGACCATCCGGTAAATCAAAAATCAAAACCGCCTTCGCGTTCGCACTCTGTGAGACATGATTCAAAAAGTCACGGAGGAATTTGTAAGCCTACTTTCGGATCAAACTCTTAACCTTCAGCACGAGAGCAATGCTATTTACCAATACACCAAGTCTGCTAGCACGTGGCAGGCGTTTGTTGTTAATGTATTTTTATTAAATTGATGACACTTGTTTTGAGGGACGACCAAAAATCTACCAAAACTCTCCCATATTCGCTCTCTGTAAAAGGCGAAGGCATTTGGAAAGTAGTCTGTGTGTTAACAAATGTCGACAGTAACCTCTCGCTGGTAGAAATGTCGATGACTGCACCCTCTGAGGGTAAGCTGGTGGCGGAACTGGCTTCCTGATATATGCTAGTGTCAGTTTACATCGAAGCGATTAAATCAATCGTACGGGGACGGTTGAGCCGAACTTACCGGTTGAGTCAAATTCCTCGATCGAGAGTACAATGAAAGTGCTACTTACCGTTACATCATGCTCATCGGCAGAAACACGTAAAATTTCGTGAAGAAAATAGTTTCATACATTAGCATTTTGAATTCAAGAGAAAAAAAAGAAACCCGAAAAAAGTTCTGCAATTCTAGAAATATGATAAAACACAGAAGCAAACCTTCTGCGTGCTACAGTCAACTTTTGTATGTGTGTTGCACGTGCCAACACTAATCGTATTGCTGCTAGCAACACCGCCAGTAACTGGTTCCTTCTTCGTCACAACTTCTGATCGTTCTACTTTTCTTTCTTGGTTATCCACCTTAAACAGAGGATTGCTTAGACTACCACGATCGCCATATAACACGTACTCGATGTTGCCGATGTTATTAAGTTGCAGTCATGTGCCGGACCTGTCGGCCCTCCACCACATACCTTCAATTGGTGCCTACCGCCTCTCAGATTGGCCACTCCTCTTTTGGAGACCATCCACCAAGTAGTTCTTTGCTTTTTTACTGGTATGAATTGTTGAAGTGCGGTGCCCAAAGGGCTCTTCAGAGGACTCGTGCTGTTATTTCGCTGCAGTACTGGTACAGTTCCGACAAATGCATTTATTACTGGTCTCTTTTAACATGAGTTCGAATTCCAAGTCCGGCTAAGCTGGAAACAACCACAGTATTGAAAATCATACTGACTGTATGATGCCAGGCCACTTTCAAATTCATTTCTAGGATCGCGAGCTTCTTATCCAAGGATGGAAATAGAGTGTTTATTAAAGTATTGCTCTAAATCAATTGGATTTAAATTAAGTAACAATAAATCACACCTTTTGCACACCTTTTGTACGCTCGTCCACACTGATATTGACAGAAGTGGCAAAATTCGTTTTTCTGCTGATTGCTACACCACGCTTCTTCGTTAAAATTATTTCTTTACTTCGCCTACAATTAATAGCTCCAAAATAAACGCAAAGTAATCAGAACCAGGGCATTGCAGACGCTTCACATTAATGACAGTTTATCAAAGTTCACCGACAATGCACGAACACTAATAAATACAGCTAAGACAGAGTATTCATGGGAATTTTGTAGCTCGTTTGCAGATCAAATCAAGAGTTTACGGCCAGTACAAAAAGGGAGTGAAAATACAGGCATTTAATGCTAGCTTTAATGCCCCAAAATTGAAAAAGCAAAAATGCACGTCAGAGCACCAGCAGCCTGGCCATAGATTAAGCAGCGATTTTCGGTCAAAGCAACGAAAGAAACTGTCGATTGCACAGCTGAAGGACCAAAACATGAAATAACATATGATGCATTTGCTCCTTAACTTTGTTTTTCATTTCCTTCGCAGACGGAGAATTTCTGCAATCCTCAGGGAAAAAAAGGGTGAAGAGGAAGCCCTGAAATCATGCAGCAGCGGATTAGCAGAAGACAGACTTCCAAACATTACGGACACGCTGATCAGCTATTGCCAAAGAATGCTCTTTTACAACACTGATGCCCCACACACAGTAAGTACCACTCCTTATTTTTGTTAATACTCAAATTTAGCATAGCTTAATCTAATCCTTCGTATTCTCATGTACACAACTGATAAATGTAGCAGCAGCAGCAGCTGACTTCACCATCTCATTCGCATAATTTTGGTACTTAGAAAGGAGGAGCAGAGTACGCTGTATGCGGCTACAGCGCTCCTTCATAATCCAGTGATGCACTGGCTCCCTCACAAAGGCGGTATAGTTCTGGAGCGCTACTGCACCAGTAACGAATTTCCCACAGAAACAGATTTTGCTGGTAGCAATGACGCGTATCTTTGTCGCCGAAATCTCGGTTACTGGAAAACCTTGATCATCAGATCGCACGAACAATTGCGTCACTCCAATAAATTACGCGTATTCAGCACAAAAAACTGAAGAAAAAGGAAGCATACGAGGAAGTATTAGACGGCGCACAGCGAGCTGTGCTTGTCCCGCTATCTTGCGCACCGGCATCAGTTTCCGAATGCGGAAATGCTTTGTCCGGTTTGCTTTTCACTTCTTCCACCGTATCAGGTTGTGTTTCATCACATGAGCAGTCAGACGTCGCACCACAGGTATTCTCTGGCCATTCGCACTCTACAACATGCACTTCTCAAATCCTGCCCTCAAAGCAACCAGAAACCATGGCTTACTCGACACAAATTGCCGGGACTCGACCTGAACATTTTTGGAAATCCCAACCCCAACATACCTCCGGGTTG